AATCCGACTATCGCGAGATAGTGGTATGTTGAGTCTAACCCGCAACAAAGAAGCAAAGCCCATGAAGCTCCTAAACAAACACATTCAACAATCTTTGAACACGTGCTTGATGGGGCAGCTTTCAATCCAGAGGTCTTTGTTTTTGCGACCCTTTGCTCCCCTACGGGTCTAAGACATCGCATTCCGCTGAAGATAAAGAAAGGCCAATGCGTCGTAAAGAGGGCAACTAAAAGCCAGGAGTTGAAAGCCCGCACGGACGCCATGCCCACCGAAAACTCTGTAAACCCCTCCAACAAGAATGAGGCTTGAATTCCTAAACGCAACTAAACGTTGCGAGAAACCCAGCAGCTGCTCATGACCTGGGACGAAACCCTATGAATCAGAGTTTCAGAAAGTCATATAAACCTTGAAGGGCCTGTATCATCCTCATCATATATGCACTCAAACACATCTCTACTTCTCTGAAACCGCCAAATGCAATGCCGCACAGCCCGAAGCCGTCCTCTAAGACCGCGTAAGCCTGGGACTCCACTTCAGGAGATTGCCTGGAGGAAAAGCACATTTTGGGCTTTTTGGACCATGGTTTTGGGGGATTTCTTGATATTGTCTAAAACACCTTCTTACTTGCTAACTGAAGCTTCGGAGTGTGTCGTAGCTGGGGTGTGGCATTGTCCGAGACTCGGCCCCTTTTTTGGGCCCTTTTTGAAATTCAGCATGGCTCTGAGAGTCTCTGGCCAGGGAGAGCTGTGGGTTTTTTAGTGCGTGGGGGCTTTCGGGCTGTTTAGTTTCGGGGACTGGCAACGGTCTCAGGCCTCAGTTGCAAGCTTAGCATGATTTGGGGTCTATAGCGTGCGGCCCAAGTGTCAGAGTGCGCATCCCTGGGCACTTGGAATTCTGGAATTCTCTGCGCTGTCGCATGCGGTCGGGAACCACATTGCAAATACGTGTGGACTTGGAATCAACTTCTGCAGCCGGAAACTAAACCCTAAATTCCCGTCTTGAGTTTAGCGTTTAACCTGTCACTCGTCAACAATGGCTGCTGCGGGAATTCGTACCGTCTACTCTTGGTCATGAATATACATCGCTGCCAAACTGTTTTGCTGTTCTGTCCTGGTGTAGATCTGACGACCAAGCTCAGTGTTTCGCGTAGTACATTCGCCTCGTGGTCTGAAAACTTCTTGGGTTGCTTTCTCTTATACCAATGCACAAGCAAGCTAGTGCAAAAATCAACCAAAAGCCACTCAATCAACATACTCCGTACATGGATCTGTGGCTTCTACACATGCGGTTCCGACTTGCAAATCATTCCACTGCTCTAAGCAGCATGAAGCAAAGCTTGATACAAGCTAACTTTAGCCAGGCACGTCTTTGTGACATTGCTGTGCTGCTGATGTGAAAGACAGGTCAACAAAAGCGAGGCGACAGGCTTGGACTCCTATGACTCGAATTTTGGCTGTGGTCTATAGGGCCTAGGGTTTGTGGTTACAGGGAAGCGGATCCGTTAAACTCATAAGTCGTGCTGGCTTGCGCCACTGGCACTACTAGTCACTAGTCTGAGAACCAGTCTCATGCCCTGCTGCTTTTGGTTCATGGCTGCAGCACCTGGTAATGTCGTCCCCAGAGCCTCGTGCTGAAGCTCAGCTTTGCTGATTTCGGCTCGAAGCCCGCCCATGTCGTAGCGCATGGAGGCCAGCGGTGCGTACCATAGCCAGCCCCGCTGCTCCTCAGCCAAGTGTGCCTGCCTCAAAGCCGGACTGTTGCAGATCACGCATTCCAGAGCTGATGCCCAGCTGCGGGTGCCCCCACACTTTCGCACGTAGGCCATCTTCTTACACGGCTTCCCGTGCACGAGTGCACCTCCACATCGATGCTCCAGAACCTGGCCAAACGACACGAGCTCCTTGTAGCGACGAAGGTCCAGCAGCGAGGCGTGACCAGGCAAGGAGAACGGATGTTCGCAGGTCGTGTCCACAAGTCGTACATGGCCTGCAAACTTGCCGTTACTTGACTTGACGATCGGCCTGGTGGTGGGACGGATCTTGATCTTCCGCTCAGACATCCCCGGGAATGCTGGCATGACAAGAATCAAGTCGTCGTTATCTTGGAGTGCTTGAATGCCTTCACTGATCCAGGAGTACCCAAACTGCCTGGAGACGATCATGTCTGACTCCAGGATAGCCAGGTAGTCTGCACTACACTGGTCGATGGCAAAGTAATGGTCCAATTCCTTCACCGGCATATCACTGTCCATGGATCCATGCCCCATTGCCTCAGCCTCCAGCTGCAAGGAGCTGCCCCACGCGGCAGTGAAGTTGACAGAATCCTCATAAGCCTTCGAATGGTTCACTGCTAACCATTTCTCGAGATGCTTCTCACGCACCAGCGAGTCTGCCGCGCTGGAAATGGAGGCGTCCACTTTTTCACCGTGCGCATCCACCACCAAGTAGCGCTGGCTGAACATGTTTTCGTGCTGCCCACTCAAGTGCTTGACCCTCACCAACAGCTCGTTAGCTGAACTGGTCTTTGCAATGAGAGCCAAACAAACCGTTGGAGACTCTTCCTCACGGGATGGCAGCTCCTCTCGACCTTGTGCACCTTCGTGCTGGCCGTCAAAGGTCACATTTCCTGCATGCTGCTGCTGCCCTTCCTGCGAAAAGTAGTCCCCAACTTCCGCAAAAGGATGGTCCTTCATCCCGATCTGTTCACTGGGCCCGGCGTGCAACAGGACAGCTGATTCTGCCCTTCCTTGCGCGACTTGAGGGCGGTTTTGACTCTCACCCTCCGAAAGCATCCCTTGGAGTTTGAAGCAAGGATATAAAACCATGCTCAGCAACGAAGCCGCTGTGATCCGGCGAATCTTCGACAAAGGCACAGCGGCATCTGTGCTGGCTCCGCATCTGCGCATTAACATGACGAGTGTGTCAAAGTCCTGATGCTCAGTCCAACCAACACGTCACATCGATAACTGACTGCACTACTTCACTACTTTCTGACAGCACACGCTTCCACAGAAAGTTTATTTTCGTACTTCACTCTTGGTATCATATCAGAAGCCGACATGTTGTGGTTCAAACGTGGTGGCTCCGCAAGCAAGCTTCACGAGCCTGCAACTGTCCACCAAGCAACGCTTAAAAAGCCGAGACCAATGTAACAAGTGCCTCACTCTATATGCCAAAACACATCAAATAACATAACAAAACAACCTCTCGATGTCGCGGAGTCATTTCGCTCCCATGCCAATTTGTCCGGCACGTATGGACACTAATGTTGAACCCTGAATGAAAAGGCACTTATTAACTTATCCAGAAGCCCGAATCAGAGCTCGAAAGAACATCGGACGATCGGTGAAAAAGGTACACCCAACATCCAAAACGAGGAAACTTTAAGGGGAAGTCATACCGCTACTCCTAAGACATCCCCAAGAAGCTTCAAATCTTTAATTGCAACTTCCACTGCATGAGGTACTCGAGGAACAGATTTAGGGCGAATAGGGTGTAGGGCTTGGGGCTCTAGTGTCTAGGCGAAGAGAAATCGTGCTCATGGATTTAGCTCTTCCCTCGGTTTTAGCTTCATTAAAAGGTGCTACTCAAGAGAAGGAGCAGCACTAAACCTCTTAGGGCACTATATAGACCCTTATAAGCAAGCTAAACAAAAGCACCGCCTCGGGACCAGCTCTTTGGCATCTTTCGGCAGTGGCTCCTCGTCGCTCCAGGCCAAGGTACGGAGGATGGGAAGCAGCCTCGGAGGCTCGTTCCGAGAGGGTGCGAGAAGATTTGAACTGGCAACTGAAGCCATAAGCCGCGGCACCCTAGCCATGATCATCATGCTCGCCGTCATCATCATCTTCTTCTTCGTCATGGTCATCACAACCATCACCACCAGGTCACCACCATTACCACCACCACAACCCAGCACCACTACGACAGCCAGCCGCTGTGCGGTGGGACATCTGAAACCTGAAACCAACTCCTAAATCCTCAACCAAAGCCCTCGAACACTGTTAACCCTCCTCAACACCTATCCTAAAACCCTCTTGAAGCAAAACCCTTCAAAACCGCTTAAGCCCCACATGCGTTTCCCTGTGAAGAGCTCCGACCTCGGCTCCCACTCCCGCGGCCGCAGGGCCAGCTTGAAGATGGCTCCCTGAAGAGCTTCTAACGGGATTAGGTTCGAGGGCTTTCGGATTTAGGATTCGGAATTAAGTGCCACGCAGGTTTAGGATCTGCGAAGAATATGATTGGGGGGATTTTTGGGTGATATGGGGGATTTGGGCTTCAGGGTTTCGGGACCCTGGAGGCGAGAATGGCCTCAGGCTCGGCTCCCTCCAGCAGGTCCTGGATCAAGGCCATCTTCCTCGAAGTGTCTCACTGAAAACGTGACAGGTGTTTGGGAGGGATCCTGAAACTAAGGGCATTATTGAGATACAAGATGGTACAACGGCTTTATGAGGGCTGTGGCCAAAAAATAAGGGCTCCCTTGAGGAGGCCTTCTGTAGTACTGAGCTGCTGGAGTTCAAACGCAAAGGGTCACCATCCATCAACGTCACCTAACTCTTATGGCTGCAGGCTTCCGGTTTCGAGGTTTCGGGATTTCTGTTTAGGGCCTCGGGATTGGTTTAGGGGTTATTCCCCAAAGTTGAAGCGCTGAACCCAGGCTAGAGAGTTGACATGGGCCGGACTGCAAGCATAACCCCGCAACTACTATCTCAGTTGCCCGGAGCCTGGGCGAGCAGGGAGTTTAGGGCGAATTGATGAGTCTATTGAACCGGACGAAGGGGCAGTGAGTTTCGAACTTTTTGCAAACTTTGCCAGCAGTCCCGGGAACGAGCCTCGCGTCTCGGTCTAGAACTATATAGACCATCAACTGTTAATCTTAGAGACCCCAACTCCTAAACACGCCAATCATGAACGGCCTTTGTGCTAGATTGACTGACTATTGGATAATGTGCGTCGCAGCTTCTGAACTGCGTTTTCACCTGTGGCCTGCAAATGCACGCCCAAGCGGATGTACACCGCCTCTTGCCCATTGTCTGGATCAACAAAGCCATACCTCGGCACTGTGGTTTATAGGATTTCGGGTGTAGGGTCGCGGTCAGGGTTTGCACTTTGCCATTTAGGGCCTCAGGGTTTTTGCTCGTGCCAACCCAAATCCTTCTGGGCTTAGCAGGCGGTGCGCCAGGTAGAATTTCCGTGCTTCCTCGAGCCGTCAGGAACCCAAATCACTAGAGTTCCTTCTCATGCACAGTCTGCAGTGACTGCAGTGCTACCAGAACTTCTTTTTGCACTAGTAACGGTCCTACGTCTTTGCGGGGCAAGTCCGAAGCACGAAACTGCAGCCGCAGTAGACCTGGCCCCAAATGTTCAAATTTAAACCCGAAGGATGAACTTCGGCAGTTTCCGTTTTTACCGGTCTTGTACACGCGAAGATGCCCACAACTCGCACGATAAAGATGCGTGCCCTAGCCGGCAGGTGGTGAGATGCAATCCTGACTGAAACTCCTATGGACCTCGAAAGCCTCCCAGTCCCGTGAGTCCACCCATATCCTGTTGCAAACCCTTGTTGCATCCTTCAGAACCCTGTAGCATAGGCTCAGAAAGCTTTGGAGCATCAATCCTAGCGATTTGGCCTTGGACCATCCTGAAGAAGGGAAGGTGCTGCGACAGCAGCTCAGCATTGCTTTTCCCGCCGTAGCTTACCCAGACTTGCTCACCCACCTCAGGCTTGGGGTGCTTGTCTAAACCTGAAGGCTCTAGCATTCAAAGAAACCTCAGGCTTCGGGCGTCTCCGCAAGAAACCAACACGGCGAGCCCGGAAATGAAAACCATGATAGGCCACATATCTTGAGCTTCATATGGGGCTTCTTGAGACAAGGGTACCTCATCCGGGGCTGTTTTGTCAAGGGTCCTCGTAACTCATACTTGCTTAGGTTCTGACTTCATACTCTGCACTGACTCTGAAAACGAGTCGAAGCCGGCAGACGTCGTAGTGCTTGTGGGCGTAAGCAACGATGCCGTTGCCAAATCGCGTCAGCTGCAGGGCGCCGGCACGGTGGTTCCTGGCGCGGTTTTGCTTCAGACTTGGAGTTCTCGTCAACCCTCATCCCTAAACCCTAGAAATCTGCAGCCTGGGAGCGTTCCCCAACGCCTGAAACAACAAATCGTGGAAGCCCGGAAAGCCCAAAACACCTAAAACTAACCTAAAACCTCTAAAAACCCCAACCACCTCAAAATTCTAAGCCCCGAAGCCTCGGGCCGAAACCTCACAGCCCTCAACCCTAAACCCTGTACTCCGCCCTCGAAGCTTGACCAAACAGCCAGAACCCCCTACCAACTGTGATCGCCTGCCCCATTTAAGCCGCCGGGGAGCAGGAAATCCACTAATGGTGCGATGCACAGGTGTGTTCCTGACAGAGGGGTGTTAGAGGCTTATACATATTGAGGTTTAAGGTTGCCATAACTCTACCCCATCCGGGCAAGGTGAGTTCGATTTTGTTCGTTTCAATCGATGTGTTTTGTAGGTTGTCGGGTTCAGGGTGGAGGTGACAACCAAAGAGCAGAACAGCTCAACGCCTTACAGCTCTTGACCCATTGCATGTCACTGCATAGTTTCTCAATCTAGAACATTCATAGCTACCCTGAAACCCGCCAGCCAGCCCATATACAGGACCTTGAACCTCCATGATTCCGGGGGTGAAATGCCCTTGTTTGCTTCCATGCTGTCCCTAGAACCGCAAATCCCTTAACGGCCCTAAACCCTCAAGATCCCGCAACTCCGAACCCCAAGCCATAGTTAGACCAGAGCAACAACTCCCTCAACCCCTGACTAAGGTACCCCGAAGCGAAGCCTTGCCATATAGCCCATATACCTGCCTTCGGCATCATCGCCGTAGGCTCGTGAAGCTACGGTCGCAGCACCCCACAGAAAGTGGTCGAAGGTGAACACACCTCGGCCAACGACGGTTTTTGTGTTTTGGTTGAAGGAGGTCAGCGCAGGCATCCTAAATGAAAATCCACATGAACAAAGCACTCCACAGGAATCACGATGCCAGGAGCTTGGAGACTTCACCGGGCTTACGGTACGCAGGGCGTAGCGGCGTAGAGAGTGTGTAACGTTGAGGGTTCCAGGACAATGAAGGGTGTAGCCATCGGCACGGGTAGCAGCCGCCAGCTCAGTCGGCGAAGCAACAAAAACCAGCAGCACGCCCTCGAAACCAGCAGGAAGTCTGGAAAAGTGCCCATTCTGGACTAGATACTATACTGCATATATATATATACACACATGTGTATATATATATATACATGCACATATTTCTTTATATTCATTTGTTTACATCTACATCATACATGTTTTATATTTTACCATCCTCTTCAACACAGCGGCTATAAGGGTTGCCATACGAGTTTCAGCAACTCCACACCCTGATCCCGATCGGCCAGGTGCTTTTGGAGGCCCAAGGCGCTGGAAGGAAACTTCTCCGAGTGCTCCTGGAAGAGCGACTCCTGCCACAATGAGTTGCAGCTTTAGGGTTTACGATTTAGGGTTTAGGGTCTGTGATCATGCATTTTCATGTGGAGCACCGGTATCAACACCCACAGTCCTAAACGTGAAGCCCGAAGCCCTATAGGACCTTAGAGTCCAAGTCTGAACGTAATGAACACGGGCTTAAGTAACAATAAGACTTCGATAACGCTTCGGCTCAGGGAAAACACATCGTTCCGGATTGTACTCTCAGAACCCAATCTGCAAGCTATGGAGAAGCTACAGCTTAACACCCCAATTCTCCCAACAGCCCGACAGCTTGAAAGCAGGGGTTAGGATTACGGGGGACCCGTGGGGATATAGACCCTAGGAAAAAGGCACCCGAGCAGCGCTAAGGGCGCTATCAAGCTTCTAATTCTTCAACCTTAAACACCAGGTCCAGCTAGGGTTGGGCTTTCATGAAGGGTTCGGCTGCTTTAATTTCGGGATTTAGGGTTCAGAGTAAAACTTGGAGTTATGACGCTTGCAATAGCACCAGTAAATCACAAAAAAAAGGTATGCTGACGAGACGCATTCAGCGTCACATACTCGTCCACAATGGTGTTGTACCTTTTTATAGGTCCGAGGCAGTCTTCTGTTGAACGTTGGGCGCCCCCTTGCTTGCAGTTCTTGTTAAATTTTTGTCTGCTTTCGCGATGCCTCTTCCTTGTCATCGGTCAGAGATTTAACCGTTTTCCACCCTTGAACACAACCTCTTTTGACAGTGTTTGACAGGACAGTAGTCGATCTGCGAGGAGCGCTTTCAGGATCCATGTTACTTTCGTGGAACCTTTGGGTGCACGGAGCTCCTGGGCTGCAGCTTTGCGTACTGGCATGTGGCAACAAAAAACGAGAAGCTGGCAAGGCACATGGCTGCGGCCGCCCCGTAGCCATCACTGCCCTGGAGCCATTCGAGTTCGTCCTGCCAGTGGCAAGTAGCAGGGCTTTAATCATCAAGCGATTGAAGTATATTTTACTAACTCATGCTGGGAAGCCTTCACGAGAAATCTTACTTATTATTCGACCCCTATACACAACCGACCTCATACCATCTTGCATACGAAGCGCCGGAAAACCGAGCCAGACAGCATCCTTCCCGATGCATGTGAAGACTCCGTAGGCTCCCCTCTTGTGGCAACCTTGGCAGGTTCCAAGCCTCGCAAGAGCCAAGACCGCCTAAAGCCAAATCGTTCGGTCCACAAGCATACATGTGTTGTTGCAAGAGAAGCTCCCGGAGTCCTCAAGATAACGCTCAGAGGGCATGAACACATTTTGGCCCCGGGACACCCTGTTATCGGAGTGCCTCAGCAATAGCCGCCCTCAACTCAACAATAGAGAGTCGACACGGGCAGACACTCCCAAATGCATGTTTTGAAACTAACTCCGGTCAGCAAGCCAGGCAATCTAGCTTCGGGCCAAAGCAGAGAACACATGGACAGATCATGATCGAGTCAAATGAGTGTTTCAACGCGAGCTTCTCCAAACAGCACGGCTGGAGTAATTGCCGGAGCCAACTCCAATAAGCTGAACATGAGAACCCTGAAACTCGAACATAAGCCTCCACAAAACTTGCGAGCTTGACCTCTATAATGCCTAATCCTCGTGCTGCAGCTTAAACCCTCAAGCCCCAACTCAAAACCCTCCCGCGAACAAACCTGACCCGTTTCTGTCCTCCGTCCACAAGAAGCTCGGTCCCGACACATCCCCGTCGAACTGGGGGAGGGAGCGCATGTACACATACCTGGATATCGTGAGGATTTAGCCGGGGATTCTTCTAGGGCTGTAAAGGCTGTTAAGTGGGACCTTACAGTGTCTAGATAAGGCTTAATCGGCACTATTTTGGGCTTCATACTGATACGGAGTTGGGGTTTAGGGCTTACTTCCCGGTGCTCAAACAATATATACCAAGGCCCTCAAAACAGCAAATAGGAAGGCTTTAAAGATCAACGTGTGAAGTATTTATGTGCCTGCACCCTCAGGGATGGATTCCATGCCGAGTGTTTTCTTGGCAGCTAAGCCCTCGACCATTTGGAGTCCTTCCCATGAACATATCGCTCCTGCTCGAAACACGATTTAAGGTTTAGGGATGCAGTCGTAGGTTCTTGTGGTTTACTATTTGTGAGGCTGAGGGGTAGCGATGTGCTGCTGCGTTTGGGAGCCTGTAACACACCCACCACACTATGCATTCTAGCTAAAGCCCCCTAAACTGTGTGCATTTTGGTAGGAGAGCACTGTGAAGCACGTGCCTGAAACACGCTGTCTCTAGACGAAGATTACATACCAGATCCTTCGTGCTCATGGAGCAGGATGGGAACAGACGATATCCGCACATATCCGCACCCACCTTGAAACCCATGGCTTGTCTCCTGAATGAGCAGCAGGATCAACGCAACCTGGTCGGAAAGCGCTTCAACCTGTGCTCTCAGTTCTTCGGCTTTGTCTGCGGCATCTTGCACCCACAACAGTTGGTTGCAAGAACCTTTCTGCGATCTTACGGAGATCACACTTGATTCTACGAAGGGTTAAGGGTTCTGGTGCTTGGCTTTGGAGGCTTGCGTGCTCTGTTGCTCTAGGGCACTAAGTCCTCAATACTAAAACCCCGCAGTACTTAAACCCTAACCTGTCCAGATCATCGACCCCGAAAAAGACTATACTCCAACCACCGTGCAGCACCTCAACCCTAGTGAACCGAACCACGCCATCTGCCAGCTTGCAGAATTTGGGCCTCCGGATGAAGTCCCAAGCAGGCATCGACACCGGGATTTAGGGCCCAGGGGCTGGGGGCCGTTGCCGAAGACCTGCACCGGAGAGGAATTGCAGCCAAGGCACCACATCCCCCCAGAGCTCCACAGCCTTTGGCTTGCTGAGCCTTAGTGGCTATCTGGCCAGCACCGGACGCTTAGGAATGATGTTTTGGAGGCATTTCGGGTTCATATGGCTTTCTAGTACAGGGGTGCAGGAACTAGGCCACCAGGTAGAACCAGCGTCTTAGACTTCGAGATTTGGCTTTGCAGAGTCTGAGGCTTCTGCGAACTTTAGGATTTCAGGAATCTTTTGTCAACTCTAAAAACCCTCAGCCCCCGAAACCCTAAATCATTCACCCTGAGCCTTGAACCCTCGAAGCCCTGTAAGTTTAAGCCGTTAGCCGGGGCCACAAAATTACAAAAGCTTAATCTAATCCCAGACAACACTCCCTGAATCATAACACCTCAGGACCTAGGTTGCTGGGTTGTGGTCTTCAGTTACGACTGCCGGTCATGCCCTGGTAGCAGACCGACATGGTCCATCGATAGTAAGATCAATGTCCCGGGCGAAGAACCATGGCGAATACACACTGACCGAATACCCCTGACAAGACCTCTCTCTCTCTCTCTGTCTCTCTCTCTCTCTATATATATATATATATGTATATATATATGTATATAATTATACATGTGCATATGTGTATACATACATGCGCACACACACACACACCAACGTTCGAAAAATAATCTCTGTACGTCGAACGGGATTCTGACAGCCATCAACACAGTGATTTCAACGATCAGAGTCTGGCACACCATTCTGGCCCACGTACACCAGCCGCACATGGAGCAAGATCCAGAAGTCATTCATACATATCTCCGAACGACCGGGCCCGAACGTGGGATCTTAGGAAGGACCCGAACCCGCCCAACTCCAATTCCCAAGAACAGCATCCAATCTCGATGTGTATGTATGCATTCAGCTGTATATATATATATATACATACATACAAATGGATTTGCTCAGTTCATGAGTCGACACCGCCGTCTCTTTACCAAGCCCTGGCCAAGGCCGGAGGTTATCCAAAAGCCTAATTACACAGCCTTTCAACAGGGACTACTCTGGCCACAAAGGTTGCTAAATGCCCAAAAGGGAGTGATCGAGGGTGCAGCGCCTTGGGCTTTCAGGATATGGGTGAGGCTTCCACCCCGAGTCCCCCTAAACCCTAAAGCCCCATAGCCCTAAACCCCAAAGCTCGAAATCCCAAAGCCTTCTTTGCTGATGAAAGACAGAAGTGAGGTGGGCGCCCAGGCGAGGATGTCCCCTGGTACCTGTCGGCGAGAAGTCTGCCGGATCTAAACCTTATAAGCAGGGCCTTGGTCTTTTGACAATAAACACAATTTATACGCATTCAATGCGCCACACCAGAAGAATTCGTTGTAATCTCTACCTTCGCCTCGGCCACGGCCGAAGCGGTCAGAGCTTCGCTCTTTCCTCTCCCTTCCCCGGGCCCTTCCCCTCCGCTTCCAGTCCAACCGCCCCACCACTCACCACGACCCTAAACCCGGGCCCTCTCTCTACCTGCAGCAGGAAGCTGAGCTTGCCCAGGCCCTGGACCGTAATCTTAGTAATCTCCAAGCCACCAGTTTCGACGTAGCAACGATGCCGAGCTCGCCCTTGGCAAGGTCTTCGGTCGGCTCCACGCGTACCTCCACACTTTAAGGTACAGGGTTGAGGGCTTCAGTGTCACCGGGGTCGGATTCAAGGTCCGGGCTTTGAATGTGGGGTTTAGGCTGTAGCAGCTTGAAAATCGCTTGCCAAGACGGCAGGCAGCATTGCCGGAGGTGGACTCTGTTGGTCTAGTTGAGCCGAACCTTGCAGCTGGTGGAGCTTATCTGGTCATTTTATTGGTTTAAAGGGGCACTGTCGCCTACGAGTTTCCGAGGATTTCGCAAATGACGCGGGCAAGCGCCCCGAAACCCCAGCGGGTCTCTCCTTGGCGCTTTTGCAGAAAGTCGCAAGATGTGTCCTCGAAGAAGGCCAAAGGTTGCCCAAGTGGCAACTCTGAAAATGTCAGGCAATGACTAGCAAGTCGAACCATGCAGCCTATTCCTTGCATGGCTTTTCGAGTCCGAAAGCTGTACAAAGGCCATGACTGTAAGCCAAAGCTGGTAAGTCTGTAGGGCCTTCCATGGGGCCTCCTCACACCACGACCTGTGTGATGCTTCCACAAGCACTCTGGTCCACATCGTTGAGGACAGACAGGTCGAAGCCCTTTTGGGCTGCGATGGCCCTCACCTGTGGATTCCAAACTCCCCGTAACTGAAGCTGTTTAGGGACAACGTTTTTACGATCTGGGTGTCATGTTAAGCGAGCACCGAGGGTTGTGGGTTTAAGGCCCGGCTTCCTTTGTGAAGGCCCCGAGAGTTGTGGCCTTTAGGGCCCCTAGGGCCCAGGACTTCAGGGTGCCGGGCGACAAGGTTCTAACATAGGGGCCTTAATAAATGTCGAAACGATTTTGGGGGGTAGTATAGGGGCCTTGACTCCTTGACCAATACCTATATACTATACCATTTTGGGGGTTCCCTTGAAACACTCCGCACCTTCTGCACCAGGGCCTCGTCGCGCTTCTGGTCGCGCGTGAAGATCCAGAGCCCGGAGCCATTGGTTCCCGATCCAGTCATGCAGCCCGCCTAGGACTTGGCCTATGTGTCGTAGTCCAAGCACCTACTATTCTAAGTTATGGTCATAGCCTAATGCTTGTTGTAGTATTTGGTCCTACGAGAAAATAATCCATCACTACCAAGTACGGTCTTGGGTCGTCGGGCTTGCAGTCTTAATGAGGCGTTAGCTTGGGATTTAGGACTGTTGTGCTCTGGCAGCCCGCCTCTGCAGGCAAGGCCGGTGCCCCGCCCGAGATCAAAGCATAGCCTTCTGCCTCGTCGTAGTCCAAGACCTTTTCATCGGCTGGGTCTGGACAGCGATCGAAAAAGCCACAGCATGTAGCTACAACATGGGCTTTTGCGAGCTCAGTGTTCATGCCAGGGTTGAGGTGTGTGCACACACATCCTAGCTGTCTACGTTGCGCGGTGGCGCGTTCCCAAATGCAGTGACTCCAACCAAGGTGGCTTAGGCATGACCCGGAGTCCTGAAGCTTGGTTAGCTTTGTGTTTCAAGGTCGCGCATGCCGAGATTGCGATTATGGTGAGGGCTACGATGAAGATGACGACGATGCCAACAATTTCGACTGTTACAACCCTAGTCACGAGATCTGTCGACCTTATCGACAAAACTCATCATGCTGCAGGACCTATCTGCATCCTCCAAAGGGGAATGTCAGGAAATCTGGGACCCTCGCATATTATACCTCACTCTTTAATATCGTTGTGTTCCGGCGCCCCCCTCCCCTATATGCACATGCGGGACGGTGGGGGGGGGGGGGGGGGG